CCCCAAAACCCCAAAACCCCAAAACCCCAAAACCCCAAAACCCCAAAACCCCAATAATCCTATGAAACATTGAAAAATATTAAAATTCCTTATTCATTGTTATGAACCCATTTAATTCTTTTACCAGACTCCCAGTGGCCTTTTCTTTCGATTCCACCAACATCAATGAAGGTTCCTATTCCATGTTGTTTTCCTTGATCCTATTTGGTCATATAAAGATAGACTTACCCATGGTCCATCATAAATTTTACCGTCCTTCCATCTAAATCTTCCATGGCCGTGTCTTTTATCGTCTTTGAACTCTCCTTCATATAGTTTGCCGTCTGGCCATTGTAGAATACCTTTTCCATGCATTTTATTATCAAGCCATTCTCCTTCGTATTTCTTTCCGTCATCCCATCTGTATATTCCTGCTCCACTGATGTCGTTGTTATTGAAGTCTCCATCAAAGAGAGAGCCGTCAGCGAAGTAGAGAGTCCCTTTGCCGTGCTTTTTACCGTCAATATAGGCTCCATTGTATTTAGCCCCGTCAGGCCAAGTTTCGACTCCTTGACCATGTTGTTTATCCTCTCTCCATTCGCCTTCGTAGGTGGCTCCATTTGCATGAGTATATTTGCCAAAGCCATGGGCTTTGTCATCTAACCAGCCGCCTTCGTAGATGTCACCGTCAGCGTGGTAGAGTTTTCCCTCACCGTTGGCTTTGTCTCTGGTCCAATATCCTTCATAGCGAGACTCATCGAGCCAAACTTGAACACCATAGCCATCTCTGAGACCGTTTAGCCACTCTCCAGTATACTTAGCTCCATTCTGAAGAGTCACTTGGGGTTTATAAAGCCTTTTGCCATGCGGATCAGCTGTAGTTTCCATATCACAGTCAAGATTGGGCCTGTAAAAGGGATTGTGTCTAAAATTTTACACCTAAAAACCTACTCTTTACTCCCCTTAGTATCAGAGCTCTGGAATTTGAGGTCTTTTTGACACACACTGCTGTTAGCAGCATGCTTTGACTTTCTGTTTTGTTCTAAAGCAGCTTGGACCATATGTTGGTCGACTTTCTTGAGATTTTTCTCGTCAGCTCATCATTTCGAAAGTAAGCCGTTGCAACTACCCATTTTTAAATTATTAAAGAATTATATTCTCTCTGTAATTTTTTTCTAAACTGGGGTTTTGGGGTTTTGGGGTTTTGGGGTTTTGGGG